GGGGGGAAAAATAGTTTTGCAACATGATTTTGAACCTTTTTGTTTTGAAAACCGTACATTTTTCAGGTATGTGAGGGAGTTTATTAAATCATTTACTGAAAGAGAGATTAAACTATCTTAGCAAAACACACATCTACAGATCATCAAGTAGTGATCTGCAAGTATTAAGATTCTCACATGAGCTCATCTCTGGCATAATACTGTTGAAACCTTTTCTTTTTTCTTTTTTTTTGGAAAACATTTAAACTTGATCACATGGCATATGCGAAGACTTAACAACAGAAAAAATGAGAACCCGACTGATGAAGGACGTTTGCTTTTGGTTTGACGGAGAAGCGCAAAGTACCTCTTAATTGTGAAGTAGAAGAAAAACATAGTTTTCAGCAATTTTTACAGAGAAAATCTTAAAAGTGTGGTGTGCATGTGTACCAATCCTTTCTAGACACTTTTTCATTTTAAGATGTTTTTCACTTAAAGCTCAAGTTCAGTGAGATTGGATGGAGCAATTCTGTGAACAATAATTTAACAGGGTGGCTACTGGATTTCAACTGGATTTAGGTCTGTACTTTGACTAGGCTGTCCTTATACACAATTCTGCTTTGATCTCACATATTCCAGTTCAGCTCTGCGTGTATTTTTGGACTAATTGTCCATCTCGAAGACGAACTTCCACCTCAGCCTCAAGTCTTTTGCTGCCTCTAACTTGTTTTTGTTGTTGTTGTTGTTGTTTTGTTTGTTTGTTTTTTGTTGGGATTGTCCTGCATTTAGCTCCGTCCGTTTTCCAACCAGCATCCATTACTTCAATGTTCCTAAATAAATTCTAGAGCAACCAGTTCCCTCTGGAAGCCACAAAATTAGAGCCATCAAAGCTTTATTAAAGCAGTAACAATGACTTTCTCTCTTCACTGGCTTCCATTTTGTATCGTCAGGCTGATGAAAAATGCACGCCACACTTTTCAGTTTTATTTATTAAAAATGTCTTAAAAACGTCCATCAATCCATTAATATATTGCATTCCCATATAGAGGGGGGAAATGGGTAAAAATGGCTTTTTCAAGCCTCTGTGTAAAGTTATGTAACAATTCAGTCAAAATGGCTTCCTTTGGCTTCTCTGTGAAATGTTTTCTGGGAGGAATTTGTGCCCTTTATGTCTGCAAATGCCTTCTGGCTGCGGGCACCACCTGATATTAGTTGCACTGCTCTTTTTTATGCAACAACGCCCCCAAACACATGAGAGAGGAGGGGAAAAGGTATCAAACAGGCAGATCAATCTTTTAGCTCTCAACTGGAAATTGAAACAATTTCGATTAAAGCATGTGATGTCTGACCAGCGAGGCCAAATATGGAAATGTGCTCGGTGAAAGGAAGTACAGCTCGGAGGCCAAAGCCAGATCTGCTAGTTTCAGCGATGAGAGAGTAGAAATGAGCAGCTCTGCAGGGTTTCACCGATCAGCGAGCACTTTTGACTTTATGAATCGGCACAGAAAAGCGTCAATGCTTCCTCGAATTCTTTTCATTCCTCCTGCAAGATGAAGAGAAATCATCGCTATCCAAACCTTTTTCTTTTTTTCTGCACCGTGCATCATGCGCAGAACAAGCAGCCAGCTGGCAGGCAGTGGGGGCTGTTTAGCCTTTCCTGATGCACTCAGTCAGAATCTAAATGCTGCAATCATTAAGAGAGTCTGTCGCCTTTTGGTGTAATTTGAGAGCAGTGCGGCGCTGTGAAGTGCCCTCGCTGCATAATATCCCAGAACATTTCTTCTTCTTCTGTTGCTATTTGATCTGTGGGGCATTGATGAGTGAACTTATTGGAAATGTAGGCTGGAAGAAAGACTTAGTGCATCAGATGTCTCTTATATTGTGCAACTGTCGCTCTGATTGCTGTGTTTGTGGGGCAAAAAAATAAAAGATAAATAAAAGTCTGGACTGTAAATATCGTCAGTCACTCGCAGGCAAACTAGTGAACTGATTTGTTCTTCTTTGACTGAATGACAAATCTTAAAACAAAAAAAGAAGCATAGTTTGGATTAGTAAATGTTGAACACACTCATTCTTATGAAATGAAATGATTTCCTCTCTCAAATTTACAAATTGGAAGGCTTTGCAAGTTTTTCACATTTTGTCAGACTGCATATTTCACAGGGATTGACTAACACAAAGTACTGTGTAAAAAAAGAGGATAAATGCAGAAAAATAAAAATCTGAACAGTGTGGCATGCTTTTGATTCAGTCCCCTTCGCTCTGAAAGTGCTAAATAAAATCCATTGCGACTGTTTGCTCTAACAGCGCTAATTTTTTAAGTCTTTAAATCCTTGGTTTCAAAAATAAAAAATTTTATTCCATAAAGGAAAAATCTGTGGGTAGAACAACTAATAGCTGCCCTTTCAACTCATTCTTCCATCTAAGTTACGGGGCTCTTGACTGCTCCTCTGATCAATGCTCCTCTTTCACGGCCAGTTTAGTTAAGGTCAAAGGTCACGTCTCGGTGGGTTTGCGGTTGTGCTGAAATCATTTCATTGCTGGATGATGGATTTGAGCAGAGCTCTGAGGAACGCTCAAAGCTGCGATGTTGCTAATTAATATAACTTCACATCTTTCTATGAGATGGTTTATGAGCAGAAGCTGTTTGTTCACTAATATTTTCTACCAAACCAGAGAGATTTACACAATTATAGCAGTGGAGGCAACTGTACTAATTTGTTGGGATTTAAAGGCAACTGGTTGTGCTAGATTTAATTTAGGGGCGTCAAAGCAAAGCAAACTGCATACACATTTCAAAATGTGGAAAAGTTCAATCGTGAATAGGATTTGGCATTTGTCGTATCGTTTATCATTTATTGTGATAAATTTCTTACCACGCTAAGAATTTTGATTTATTGTTGTGATGATAAAGTCCAATTAGTGATGTTCAAACCCCCCAAAAAAACTGTCTGTATTGCTGTGGGATTGTTAGTTTTGTTTGTTTAATGAGAGCATCAACAAATATAAATAAATTTGAAAATATGATTAAATGCATTATGTATTTACACCACTGGTGTCCTAAAGAAGTGCATTACTAATGTAAATGTGTTTGCAGCGGGTTTAATCGCTGTGCCATGCAGTCACGACCATGCACTTACCTAAAAAAAAAAAAGACTGTAATAACTCGTTCTTTTATCACGATAGTTCCACAGAATATCGTGATAAAAACTGTAAGTCCATATCGCGCATCCCTAGGTGTGAATACTTTTACGAGGCTCTGTCGGACTCTTAACGTGAGAAAATACGGAATGAAAACCACCAACAAACCTCGGAACATAAACAATTATGGTCTTATTAGTGGCCTGACAGCAGAGATCTCCCTACAAGCTGTTACTAGTTTACCAACAGCATTAAAACAGTGTGCCTTCCTGTCTGCAGCCATCTTTTTATGTGCGGCTATTTCCAGCCACTGTGCTTTCAATTATATCCAAGCCCAGCATGAAAGCGGCTGTCACATCTCTCACTTGTTTTCTGTTTCATAATAAAATGATTTCATGATCATGTGACTGAGTGGGTGACAGAGATAGACACACACACACACAGAGAGAGAGAGAGAGAGGGAGAGAGAGAGAGGAAGAAAGACGGAGATGGGAAGAAAAAGCTAGCAGCCTTTTTAAGTGAACATTATGGACGGAGGCCCGGGCACGTTGCGCGCGCACGTCTTCATCCACAAGAGGCCTCGCGCACATGGAACTGCCTTGAGAAACAGCCAGACAGACAGGCAAGCCAGCATCTTCAAGAAAACAACCCATAATTACCTTGTCCGACCGCGGGATCACTTCCTGCAGGTCGGCTAATCCAAAAGGCTCGGTCTCCGTGGCTACCCTGTTGCCTGGAGACAGCTGGGGCGGGCTGGGTTGATGTTTCAGGAGTGACAGAGATGGGCAGACGTAACTGAGCTGCAGGAACTGGTGAAGGCCAAGACACTCAGGGTCTTTGGATGATTAGTCTCACGACAATTACTATTATTAGGAACTCATATTTCCATTTTCTATGCAGTTCCAGAATGCCGCCGGCACTTCCAATAAAGATGTGGGAAAAGCTTTAAAATATATTGCAGCCTATTTTTACACATGGAAAAGATTTGAGGGGAAATACATGGAAAAGATTTGAGGGGAAATAACATTTGATTTAAGTGCATTTATTCTGTTTGGAACATTTAAACCAAGATTTTCCTCATCATTCTGGCTCTTAAATGGATTTGAATAACATTATGCAATGAACTATTTTAACACTTGTGTTTAAGAAAGTTTATGTGTTGAATCAAGAATTTACGGTACTTTAGCTGGCTTAACTTTAGCGCTAATTGCTAAAGTCAAACTTGCGCTTGACTTATTGCGCTTACATATTCTGGCGCTTAACAAATGGATTTGAATAAAAATTAGACATGGCAAAGAACTAACGTAACACTTGTGTTTAAGAAAGTTTATGTGTTGAATCAAGAATTTATGTTTGTGTCCCATTTTAGCTGGCTTAGCGTTAGCTTTTTTTTTTTTTTAAGAAAATGTTACATTTCACCTTGTTAGAGACTTAAGAAGTTACTGACCAAGTCATTAAAGTTTCTTTTTAATGTGTAATACAAACCAGATGAATTCATGAAGAAAAAGTGAAGGAGCTTAGGCGGTCAAGCAGTAACTTCACCTGCTTTGAAAAACATATTTTGCTTATGGACAAAATTGACTCAAAGTCTAAAACTGTGGCATCCTTATTACTCATTTGGTATTAATAAATGTGAGCTTGTAGATTTAAAATGTAGCCCATTGAGGAAGATAATTTAATGTTAGTTAACTGTTACTTATAAAGTAAAAGCAGAGCCTACTACCTAATTTATTCTTGTAATTTAGTTGATTTATGTAAAATGATATTAAAAACAAGCCACAATTGAAGTCCATTTTAATGATTTCTTAGAATTTAGCCATTTTATTTTGTTTTTGTTGTAGTTCTATTTATGAAAAATCTACCAAAATAAAAGCTATGCTAGTTTTTATTTCCCATTTATTGGATTGCTTTTATCAGTGACCATGAGACCAGATAGAACATGTCCCAGATGATATGTTAGAGTGACACGTAAACATCCCCCAACGAAGAGATAAACTTTTTTTTTCCTTGACCCATTCATTTTCTGCAGACTCAAGAGTTTCTATAAATCACAGCGATGCCTCTCTGAAAAAGAAGGCCTATTTTTAGTCCGACACATGCCTCTGACCCGATTCTGTCATGGCAGCTGTGACTTAGTGGTGGGCTGAGTGTCGAACGGGCTCAGAGAGAGCATCACTGTCCAGGTCTCCTGAGTGGGTCACTCAGCTCAATATGTGAGGGTTGCTGCTTTGTGTTACAATTTGCTGTTGTTCCCTCTGCAGAGCATGACGTCGCTGTACTGCCATCTGCTGGCCGTGCTCACTCCGTGGTTCCAAAGAAGTGAGAATGCTTCCTGAGAGTGTCAGCGGCCCCTTTGCCCTGTTTAACTCTGCCTCATATTCCCTCCCTCATTCTGTTTATCCTGCCTGTATCAAAAATAGCAAATTCCCCAGACAGGAGAGCTGTCCAAAAAGAATTCAAAGAAACAGCATCGACGAGTACAGAGAAATCAAATGAATTTCACATTAACTTACAAGAAATATTTCAAATAAACCGTGGAGCTTTTTGCCCCGAGAAGTCGGCTAAAGAAGAATTGGAGTGATGAGAGCCTCCAGTCTGTCACAGGTCTCTCTCGTACAAATAAAGTGCATGATAAAGCAGGTTATTTCTCTGGTAGTGGAATGGGTTCAGCTTTGGTCGATCTGTCGAATCTTTTATCAGCGTTTCACCGCTTCGTTCAGTCGTCTGCGCCTTTCCGCTCTGTCCAGGCGAGAATCCGGAGGACCGTGTGGTTGAAGTCCTCTGGTTGATCAGCAAACACGTAATGGCCGGCGCCTCGGATCACCTGACGAACACAGACACCCGGGAATCGATTTCTGACCTCAAGTTTCAGGCTTTTGCAGTGGAAAGCCGAGGAAAGACAACTTACGACGATTTCCGCATCTGGCCTTGTCTTCTTCACCTCATACCCAGAGTTGCTGTCGATGCTGGACCGAGATCCGTAAATGAAGGAGATGGGAATGTCTGCTCTGACCCCGTCGATCCGCTCCAGCATCGGCCTCTTCGCCCACCCGTAGGGAATGGTCATGTTCCTAAAGGCCGTCTCGCCGCTGACACACAGAGAAATCCTAGTTTGAGGACTTGAACGGAGTTGAAACAGCCACAGGCAGGAGGGCAAAAAAAATCAGATTTTTCACCTTGGCGTCTGGGCGTTGAGGTGGTAGATGTAGTCGGACACAGTGTCGTCATTGAACACAGCGGAGAACTTCTGCTTGAAGTCTGACCGCATAGTCTTGACCATCATCGGACCTAAGGGAGGAGAATGTCTGGATGTTATGGCACCAAATCGAGCCCAGATCATCACCATGCCAGAAAGGCAGGACTTTATGCTGATGTGCATCGTTCGGTTTCCTCTCAATTTACTGCCAGACAGCTGAAACTTGGTCTCATCTAAATGTTTTTGGCATTCTTGCGATACAAATTTGAAAACCTACACATTGTTAGTGACAAACTTTCCACACACACAAAAAAAAGCTTTTTTTTGTTTTGTTTTGCTTTGTTGTAATTGTATTGTCAGACTGCTGCATCCTAAGCGCACAAAAGAGTGTTATTGGAGATCCTTGCTCCCAGCAGCTGTTAGAGTTTATAACCATCAATGATCCAAAAAAGAAATCAATAAATATTTACCTTAATTTGCACAGTTTTTACTCAATTTAAATTACATTTTTGATGGCATCGCCACATCTCTACTATGGCACAGTTTTAGTCACTTATTGCAAATACTGTTTTAATGTTCAAATACATAAATGCATTTTTTTAAATTAATCTACCCAGTTACACATTCCTTTGGCTCCGACTTATCTTTAAGAACTGCACAGTTTATTGAAATTTTGCCCTTTACATATAGTATTTTATTCTTTATTCTGTTCATATACATTTTATTTTCTTATCTTTGTGTGAAACCAATTTACTCTGGTTGCCTGTCACTTTGCCGCTGTCGCAACAGAATTTCATCACCGTAGCACAATACAGAAATTTCTGTTCTATAAATTGTGGGTTTGAGAGGCAGTTCTATGGCTTTTTGCAATTCTTCTTGGCTTTACACAGTTTGACCCCAGGGTGAACTTCCTGGGATGTCCACTTCTGGGAAAACCAGGAACAGTCCAGAATGTTTTCCACCCCTAACAGAGTGGTCTCACAGTAGAATAGTTTATTCTAAATTTAGAAATATCCTCGTTTTATCCCCCCCCCCCAATTACCCCCTTTATAATTCCTATATAAACCGTTGAAATGGATTTAGGTTTCAGGCCAACATATTAGTTTTATTTTTGTTACCTTACCTCAGTATAATAGGCTATCCAGTTTTACCCCTTTTCAGACTTTTTAAATTTGATCCCCAATTATGTAATTGGAACTGGAGATATAGTATATGTTTGAAACTATAATCTGATCGTCTGTGTAATAAACTTAAACTTTAAAACTCATGCAATCAAAACAAAAAATATATATCAAGGTCCCAGGATTGTTTAAGTGCATGTATGAGTTTGTAAATGTGTGTGTTCTGACCCAGAGGTCCGGCCAGCCTGAGAACAGCCAGCTGGTTGAATGGGCTCATGAAGGCCCCGATGGCTCTGATCCACATCGGGATGGAGTAGTGGTACGGGTTGTCTGGGCGGGCCGGGAACCCCCACGGTTCCACCAGCAGTAGATGTCTCACCCTGCACAAGCAGAAACACCGCATTACTACGGGTTGGGAATTTATCACATCGTTTATTATTTATCGCGATAAATTTCTTATCATAAGCATTTTGACTGATCGTTGTCACAATAAATTCCAATTAGCATTAAACACCCCAGACTGTTGGGATTGTTAGTTTCACCATTTTCTCCACTGTTTATTCATTAACCAATATTAATAAATTTGAAAATATAACTAAATGCAGTAACTGTGTGCAGTTTTGTGATACAAATTTATGTGACACGTCCTAAAGAACCGTATTACGAATAGATATGTTTTTCAAGTTGTTTTGGTGATAAATAGTTCTTATCGTCACTTTTATCGCTATCACGAAATATCGTGATAAAACCTTAAGTAGATATCGCCCGCTGCTAGCACTTTTTTTAAGCATGATCTTAAAAAAAAAGCACCTGTTTGGGTATTTGAGTGTGTAGGCTGCAGACAGGTATCCTCCGAGGTTGTGTCCAAGCAGAACCATCTCTTCCAGGCCCACCTTCTGCCTCCACTCCTCCAAGGCCGACACGAAGTCCTCCTCGGCCCCCTCGGGGTCGTTGCTGAACTGGGGGCGGCTGCTCCTGCCGAACCCCAGCAAGTCCAGCGCGTAGACAGGTCCGCAGCTGGACAGAGCATCCAGATTCTGGATCCAGAGGCCGATGCCGCCTCCGAGTCCGTGGAGAAGAACCAGGGGCGTCCTGGGCTGGGAGCGAGGCGGCAGGAGAGACGATGAGTTCGGATGCAGGTGGGTGGAAAAGGCTATGGTCCACAGGTAGTTGCCGTTGGATATGCGGATGTGCTGCCTGGAGTAGGGTTGACTGACAACTTCAGCAGAGAGAAGGGACAATAAGATATAGAAAAGTAGAGGAAACATAACATCTCTCTTTTTTGCTTACCTTTGAGCATCTTTTCCTCTGCATCTTTCAGCTGAGTTGGAGAAGTGGGGCACCAGGAGGGGAGCCAGTTTGCTATCCACGAACTGAAGTCAGAAAACACAGAGGTCAGCAGGCAGACAGGAGAGCATGCACAAACAAAAACCATACATTGAACTTTGTCCATGTGCTTTTAGTTATCAGTGCTTCCTGGTTATCTCTGGACAAGAACAAAAAAACCTTGACAACATCAGGCAAGGCAAAATGCGATGTCACGAAACTTTGCCCTGGGGTATCTCATCAGCAGTAACATTTATAGTAAATTTTATACAGTTTCTTTATCAAACAGACATATCACGTTAAAATTACTCAAAACTAGCAAAAATCCCGACTGTTCAGGTGGTTTAGCGCATTAAATACTACAACGATCTGCCATACCTTCAGAAACCAAACACTGAAAACATTAAAACCAAGCTAATTTAGAGTTGGGAGATTTGATTAAGCAGTTTTAGCAAGAGTAAAGTATAGCAAAGACAATAAGCCGGGTTAAAGCAAAGCATTTTGTCACAATAAACAATACTAAATATGATAATCTTGTATTGAAAGAAAGTTGTAAATGTTTCAATTAATAAACAAATACAGACTTAAACTAAGACTGGTCAAAGTTTTAGGACAACAGTTGATCCTGAAGGAGTCATACCGGGATCAAATACACACAAGTTTCAGTTTATACTGTCCAAGAGTTTTCGCATTTCCAGCAAAAATATCTATTCACTTTGAATAAATAAACAAAAAACAGACAATGAAAAATAACTGACCTTTCTTCAGTTCGAGGCTGAACATCCTCCGCCATCCTCCGCATTGTGTATTAGTGGTCTGAAAAGTTGTGGTCAAGCGAAACAATGCTGTTGAAGTTACTGCGATGCCTTCAAGTACATACCGTAAAATTATGGAGTAGTTGTGTAGCCGAACACGACTAAATAGAACGAGACTAACAGAAGTGTATGGCCGTCGAGAATATATAGCTAAATTAAAAATAAAACTCAGTTGACGTTTTTGGCTAGTTAGCGCGAGACTGTATTTGAGTGGTTGCTCGTTCATTTCTATGTCCGACTGTACTTGAAGGCAGCATCAACTAGTTGCCAAAATCTGCTCAGGTGAGCTAATTAACTTCGTCTAGAAAAATGTGTTATTTTTAACATGGGAACGAGACGCTCGAGTGGTTCCGTACACATCGGTATGTATATATAAAATTAAAATTTTATATAAATGTATGTTTCATTTTTTTTTTAATTACAGTTGCCTGTACTTTGTAAAATAACCTTTTCCCGTAAAAATATGTTAATTTTCGTCGAACATAGTAACCCTTTTATAAGCAGAAACGTTGAGTTGAGTTGAGTTTGACTTTATTGAACTTCGTGTAATAAAAGACTAACCTAATGTATTTACAAAGAAAATAATTTAAAACAAAAGCAAGGAAAGAACAGTAAATTATTTTACGTTCAAATGAGTGGGTAGAAGTAGGAATTTATTTGTGTACCCAATACTTTATGTAGCATCATCCTATAAATTACTCTTCATATTAACTTGATCATAACATTTTTAATTAGTATTTTATACATCCACGTGGATGACAATGGTACATAATTGTACTATTGTACAATTATGGTACAATGGTACAATTGTACCATAGTACATATAGTTTGACTATTACTCAGTCAAACTATTACTCAGTTTCACTGAGTAATAGTTTTTCCTCAGTCAAACTATTACTGAGGAAAGTCTGAAAAGTGTGGCTATTAGATTAATGTTAATGTTCCCCAATTAGCCTAATGGCTGTTTTGTATATCCTCCTCTGAAACCTCAGAACAGCTTGACATACATCGGGACTTGTTGCACTGACTTTTATTTACTGGTATCAGAGTAAAGAGGACAAGATAAAAATGTACTAAACAGGTTTTTTCACTTAATTTTTTGCCACATAAAATTCCTCAGAAATATATTGAAGTATTTTGGTTGTTTATGTGACAAAATGAGAAAAAGTTGAAGCGTTTTTTTTGTTTGTTTGATTTGTGGTCTTTATGAAGACTTTCTTGCTTTATAATGTTTGTTTTTGTGGAAAATTGTACATTTTATAATCCCTTTATTCAGGCGTCCTAAGGATTGATTCATAATGGGGGGTTTTTTAGGCTTAAAATGAATCTCTGTATATTTTCAGAGTCATGTGTAATTAACAAACTCAAACTAAATCTATAGATTAATACCTGGCAGCTCACCTGAACCTTTCCTTATCTTTTTTCCCCCCTTCTTTAATTTAAGATAAGGCAGAGATTAAACACAGTTAATTTATTTTATTATCCTTCAGCACTTGAGTGTACAGTATGATTACGTTGCCACAGGAAAAAAATCACCTTTATCTTACCTCTTCCTTTATTTAACGTCTACACTTGCGCTGAATCTCATTAAATCTTAAAAGTGGGATGGAGGGGTTTATCTTATAGATTTATGGACGTGTTATCCTTGAAAAGCTCAGGAGTATCCTTCAAGAAATAGTTCTCTCGTCGCCGTGTGCTGACTTGACATTTAGGAGTAATTTGTGTCTTTTGGAGGCTTTGGGAGCAGCATAATAGTTTGTACGGAGCCTGGGAAGGGTAATTTATATCCTTTGAATGTTTTCACATTGTGCTACATTACAGCCGCAAACCTAAAAGAAATCTTATTTGGAATTTATGTGATGGAGCAAAACGCCATTGTGGAGAGAAAGCTGCATGAAGTCTCGTTAGAAATCAAGTAGGTGTGAAAGAAAGTGTCCTAGTTAAAATTACACCGTGCATCAACCTGGACACATTATATCCACCTAGAAGCATGGTGATGGCAGCATTATGTAGTGGGGATTATTTCTGTTGCAAACTAGTCAGCATTGATGAGAAGAATGATAATAATTATTTATTTTTTAAAATGCTGGCCCAAGTTTGTACAGGGTCGTAGGCAGAATATAGTTCAGAGGCCCCACATTCCCACCGCCAACAGCGTTTCTCTACAGGTTTGGTGGAATCAGTGATGGCAGGCCGAGTCTGATTGGCTCATAGCAATCAGTGATGATTGGTTCTGATTGCTGGCACATATTTGTGAGCAAACGCAGCTCAAACACAAAGATTAAACCTATAGCATCAGATTGTAGCTATGGTAACACAACAGTCAAACAGTGAAGATGACTCTTTGCACATTTCCAGAGTAATTTTGCCAATTCTTTTAACTCTTAAATTTAACTTCTTCTAAACAATTTAGAGTTTAGAAGAAACTATGCTGTAAAATCAAATGTAATAGTGCTCACATTCCCAAACAAATGTTACTTGAAGTTTGCTTTGCCATGGGCCGTCTCTTCACTAATTTCAACCTTGCAGCCTAACCGGTAACTAATGGAGGTTCTACATAGCACTGAACCATGGAGACTGAATGGAAATGAGCAAATCAGTTTGATTTTTAGTTGTCAAATCTTATTTTGATCTTTTACATAAAATCTCTGTAATGCATAATTTATGCTGCCACAATATGTCAAAATGTGAAAAACACTTGAGATGTGAATATTTTTGCAAGGCACTGTAAATCTGTATTTGCAACAACAAATTTCTATATAAAATCTGATCATCCAGAATATTAAAATGTATGAATGTAGATGAATTTTTGCAGGTTAGAGACAAGTTATTCATCTGGTTTTACTCCTCTGAATGTTCCTTGTGAATTTTTGTCAGCTTAGAGAGAAAAAGGAATAGGAGGCGACAGGTACTGCTCTGTTCCACAAGGGGGCGCAGCCATGCTCCAGCAGTGCACCACTCACACTCTGGCTGCTCTGAGCTTCTTTCCTCTAACACAATTTTCCTCTCACACCACCACCCACTTCCAGCGGCTCTCAGACTGTGGCTTGGCTGAGTGGTTCCTGAGTGCTCCATTTCCTCTGCTCCCACTGATGCATGCGCTCCTTCTCGCCATCCCTTCACTCTGCTGAGAGCTCAGAAATTTCATACGCCAGCAGACGGCGAGGCCTCGGCCAAGCCCGTGGACCGGCAGAGGTAGCGTGAGACTTCAGCTGTCTGCGGACCGAGTAACTGAGCGAAGCTTTCAGTGAGGAGACGACATAAATCTGCAGCAGAGAGCCAGCAGCTCCTTATTGTGCTGTAGAACTTGAAAACTAGCCGTGCTAGCCTGAGGTTAGGCATTACCTCCCGGTGATAAAACCCTCGTAACCTGTGGTCTGGCAGCAGATCGACTTTAAATTTCAACAAACAAGTGCAATCTAGCATGAAGGATCTAAATTCTGTTTATAATCTGGCAGTGAAAGTAGTAATGTGTTTCAGATTGGGGAGTGTGGATTATTAGCGTGCAGGAATTAGGAGAGTAACTGGTAATACATTTCTGATATCATGGAGAAATATTCAGAGGATTGTTAGTCAGGTTTTGATGGGGGGTTTTTAATAGCTGAGATTTGAAAAGCAGTTTCTCTCTCATTTTTCCACCTACGTTTTTTTTTCTAGTTAAATTTGGCAGAGAGAACAAAACATTTTGATATCAACTTAGTTGAGAAAGTCTGCTTTAGTTCTTACATTAGTAGCTTACATTAATTCATCACACGGATGTATTTCTTGCTTTAACTTATTTATTTCAGTTGCTCCTTTTCCTGGGTGGGATGATCAAACAGCAAATAATATTAGCGTTTTTCAAAACCAAGACTCGGGCAGAATCACTCAAAATGATTCTGTTGTCCACACAAGGTCAAAAACGCTCAAAAATCCCATCAATACTTCATATTTCTGGCCATTAAAGAAGGTTCACTTGGACCACATGGTTTTGTTGGCACTGATGAGCTTCTGGTTGGATGCTTAGCTACTCTTCTTTGCAACAGTTAACTTAAAATGTTTGTTCTTGTCCAGCTTTTAAACTTGCTCCACGTATTTTCTAGAGTCGGGGCCCTTCTAGAAGCTTGGTGTTTGGTTGCAGCTGATTCAATGTGTGTTTCACAGTGTTGTTCAATTATGTCTAAGCTTAGTCTATGAAACTATTGAAAATTGAGATTAAGTTAGGGTTTTCTGTCTTCATATTCCACCCTCTTTCTTCAATGCACCAGTACCAGGGTGGTGGCAGAGTGTATGACTCTGCCACCACCATGCTTGAAAGTTGTTTTTTTGGTTGAAAGCCCCTCCACTCTTCTGAACATGCTCTTGAGATTGTGGCCACATGGTTTAGTTTTCTAGGAAGCTTTTGGTTTGTTCATCATGGTTTATTTTAGAGCAGGAGTTTCTTTCTTGGTTGGCACCTCTTCAATCCAAACTTTATTCATCTTAAACTTCCAGCAACTTCCAGTTTTTTGTTTTTTTTTTGGTGGTTCATGAGCATCCTGACTATTTTCCTTTAATCTCAGAATCTCAGTTTGACTCAAAATGTTGATATGTGGATAATTTTTGATGTTGCAGTGCAGCTATTAGCTAAAGACTAGTTTGGGAACAAAAAAGAAGCCCTGATCTCAACCCTGTTTTAAACTTTATGAACTATACATTGGAAAACCAGCCATAAATGAACTCTACTGCTTCTGCCAATAAATATTGTACCAGAATCATCCCCAATCACCAAAACATGACATTCAGAAACAAGATAAGTGGATGTAAACGTCTTGCTGGAAATTTTATTGCTCTGTTTGAGGATGTTGTGTTTTTATGACCCTCATGTAAACATATTTATGTGCACTGTAAAAAGGAACCAGTCGGGCTCCATTAAATGTGTCCAAGTGAATAAAAGGAAGCAGAAACAACAGAAAACATGTTATTTAAATATGATTAGCTCGCATATTAACAAAAGTAACACGAGAGATTCCTGAAAAGCAGATTTAAAAACACATAGTGGTATTTGCTCAGATTACATTGCCCCTCCTGACCTTTATCAGGTTGAAAGGGTAAATATCTCTGCAGGACTAAAATGAACCTTGACAGACTGATGAGATAATGCTGACTAATGCTGAGTGTCATGGCCCTGGTGTGCAGAACGGCTGCAGTGCCACCATAACGACAAGGAGAGGAATGTATAACAT